AAGTTCTTCTGAATTAATTAAAAAAAATACCCCTCATGTCTAACTCAATTATAACATATTGAGTTAGACATTAATATAGAATATTCATTATACCAAAAAACTGTTTTTACACAAAACTGTTTTTACACAAAACTGTTTTTATTTTTTTTATACAACTGTTTTTTATACAACTGTTTTATATACAACTGTTTTTATACAACTGTTTTTTATACAACTGTTTATAAAAAACTGTTTATAAAAAACTGTTTAGAAAAAACTGTTTATAAAAAACTGCTTTTATATAAAATGTTTTTTATAAATTTAAATACGAAAACCTATTTAAGATTTCAACCAAAATTTGATCTTCTATTATATTTACACTATTATTTGAAAATGTAAATTAATACTCCTCATTAATCAATTATTTTAGATGAGCAATGAACAATCGACCTCCCGTGCTCGCCCGAACTATGCGCCCTTAACCCAAGTCGAACGCAATAATGAAGATTCGGAATGGGTGACACCTCACATGGTTGCTAAGTATGTAACTATGAACTTTATCTAATGTCAAATAATTTTATCTAATGTCAAATAATTTAACCAAATGGATATAAAAAATATCATTAATTTTTTTAAGCGATCAAGATGTGCTCAACCAAATCAAAATCATAATTGGTGGACACTTTCTTGGCAACTGGGCTACGTACACGGATGTTGACCCCAAGGTCCGTGAACTTTGGTGGAACTTGTTCAAGGTAAAAAAATGAATTTTTCGTTATTGATGTAACCTAAAATTTGACAAATGATAAGTTAATTTATTTTTTTAATAAAGGCCCGGTTTCGCTGGACTGAAGAACAAGGCCCCGCTATTCTAAGGGCGTACAATGCCAGAGTTTCAAACTGGCTTCGTCCCACTTTTAAGCGTGCCCGAGCCAGTGGGGTAAGGCTTCAATGGTGTTCGGATGAGGTATGGGAAAACCTCGTCCGCCACTGGTCTTCGGATCCGACTTTCTTGGCTAGAAGCGAAGTCGGGAAGAAAAATCGGATGTCTGAGAAGGCATTGACGACACAATGGCACGGAGGCCGCAAACCTGAGAGTAAACATAAAGAAGCTCTTGTAAGTCTTATTCAAATAAACCGTACACTATTTTAACCCTTTATTTTTTTACATTTATTTAAACCTTTTTCGAACCTTGTAGGCGGGGCCTCAAAAGAAGAGGGTCTCTATCCTCAAGGTCATCAAACACTGTTGGACGAAGAACGGTGATGAGTCGGAAGCCAATCTACCACCCCGCCTTGTTGAAATCGAAGTATGTAACATCAATTGTATTATTTCAAATCGAAGTAAATATCATTTGAATAATTTTTTTAAATGTTTGTAGACAAAGTATAACGCAAATGTTGAAAAGAAGCGGGCGGAACTAGGCTTGACTCAAGAAGATGACATTGATTCTGATGTGGAAGATGATGCGATCCTTGAGGCCGCTGGGGTGTACAAGGGTCGACTTCCGTGCCTCGGGGCTGAGGGGCAACGTATTTTGTACGATCGCAGCGGCACCGAAGCTTCATCATCTTCTCGATCTAGGCGAGGAGAGGATCCACGCATTGCCCAATTGCAGCGAGAATTGGAGGAGCAACAACGGGCATTTGAACAGAAACGGAAGAATGATGAAGAAACAAGGGCCCGACTGGAAGCAATGGAACGGATCCTTGCCGGATATCAGCCTCCGCCTCAACCTCTTCCTCGGCCGTACATGTTTGCACGTTGAGCAGACTCCTCAGGTTCCGCACATGGGTAATATGGGTTACCACTCTAACTCTGGTTATGGTGCCATGCCTGCAATAGGGTCGACATTCGAATCTCTGTCGTCTGATATGCTCAATCAGTTTCAGTCATCCGGTGGAGGCAACCGAGGAAGCAACCGAGGAGGCAGCCGATGAAGCAACCGAGGAAGCAACCGAGGAGGCAACCGAGGAGGCAACCGAGGAGGTACCCGACCCTTGGACACCGTGGATGCAGAAGATGATCATCATCGTGACTATGATGATAATGATGACGCATATGATTATGATGATTCTAATTTTTATCATAATGGAGTCCGACGTACGTGCATGTAATTACATAATATTATTTAACATTATATGGATTTTGTTTTTATAATTCAGTCTGTAATAACATTTTTTATGTTTAAGATTGTATGGAATTTATTTTTATTCTAATCGCTTTAAAGTAAAATTAAAATAATTTTTTATTTTTTTATTTAAAATCGATTTTTTTTTAAATCAAAAACATTAGTCACAGACTAAATCCGTGACTACGTTTTAATCCGGAATAAATTCAATTTTCATTTTTTTATTTTTTTATTTAAAATCTATTTTTTAAAAAAACAAAAAACATTAGTCACCGACCAAATCCGTGACTACGTTTTAATCCGGAATAAATTCAATTTTTTTTAAATTAAACATAGTCACGGATACATGCCCGTGACTAATTGCGGGCTTTTTTAAAAACGTTAGTCACGGACACGTCCGTGACTACCACAAAAATAAAAAAATTTAAATTAAACTTAGTCACGGCTCTTGTCTGTGACTAACATAAAAAAAATTAAATTAAAAGTAGTCACGGATCTGGTCCGTGACTACGCGCCGGAGGGCTAATTCCGGTCAAGATGTAGTCACGGATCGTGTTCCGTGACTAATCTGTGACTACACTTAGTCACGGCCAATGTTCCGTGACTACGTTCTAGTCACGCGGAATTAGTCACGGAACTAGTCACGGACAAAATCCGTGACTAAATGTGTTAGTCACGGACTTTTTACACTACGGTCCGTGACTAAGTCCGTGACTACAGGCGAATTTTTTTGTAGTGCTTGATGAATATTCTGGTGAAAATATCAACCCGAATAATCTGTAAACATATATTTTTACGGACTATAAAAGTTTACAACTAAAAAATCAAAATGCATCATATTATAAATCTATCAAAATGCATTATATTATAAATATATACGGCCTCTGTATCAAAGTAAGAGGTTTTGGTATTGTAATAATACTATAGCTGCTTTTAAGGAGATTTCTTTCCAAAACGGGAAATGAGATCATTAATTTGATACACCCACAGTTTAAGTGCCCTTACAAAAATGCACTAGTCACAAATGGCCTAAACCCAAATCATAGTCAAACAAGCTAGGACTTATCGAATGAGCAGTGAGCACGTATATATAGGTTTTAATAGGTCTTTAATTGCGTCGGGTCTAGATTTATACGGAATATTATATACAGATCAGTCACATATATTGTGGATATGGGTATAGTTTAAACTTGTTCCGGATATGTCAAGACCCAGAGTTTGTAGAGGTGTTTAAATAATTAAATGAGTCACACAAGCCCGTAATAACGAATTACCCTTAACCATTCGTGCTAAATGAAAGTCTCAAAATTGTCTTCCTATTTCTTTTTAAGGAATGATTATTGTGTGGTTAGGACTCTCTTACATTTTTCTACCTCAATCATGATACATTTTGATTCTACTCATTTTACTAATAAGGGTACCCATTTAAAGTGGTAAGAATGATTTAGGAAGGATGTAGTATTATACTCCGTATTATGAAACAAAATTGAACAATTGGTTAGAATTACATGTATTAAATTTATGTGCAATTATTTTGAAGCGTTGAAAGGTCAAACCTGAAATACGTAATAAACTCAGAATTAAAATCAATAGTAAAAGGAATTACCGGTTGAAGAAAGGAGCATAATGAAGAGCAACATAATTGCAAACATCTGACAGAATCTTACCATTGTTATTTACTTATTATTACTTTAAAAGTAGAAAGTTTGGAATGTATTTTATTTGCCTCTGTATACGGAGTACTATTCTTTATGCAATATATATACCTCTTAATTACATTAAAATCAATATATAAATATATATTGGTTTTTGTGTGTACAACTAACTAATTACAATGCCTCCTGCTTTTAAGCATGAAATAGCTCAAGCATGACTCGTTGATTAAAAAATGAATAACGTGTTTCATAAAGTTTAAAATGGCTCAATCTATTAAAGTTTCTAAAAAATGTAGCAGAACTGATAAACCGAAGAGAAAAATATGTGGAGAAATGTTAAAAAATTCAAACGCAAAAGCATCTTCTTTGATGATATTTTTTTTTCTAAAATAATTCTGAATAATAAAATATTTACAAAATTGATGTTGGATTAAATTATTTCCCAAAATACCGTAGATAAACTTAGCTAAATGGCCAATTCAATTAGCGACTTACATCAACGTAGGAAGCACGCTCGGTCCGTATGAGAAGGCATCACAAAACAGGAGAGGGAGCATTTGTGGGATCCATAAAAAATGAAAACCCCGTTTAAAAAAACTATAATTTTTTATTTGTATTCTGATTGTTATAAAAAATGTATCAAAAATCATAACTTTTTATTATCTTTCATATAACACCAATATTGAAGATATAAAAATGGGAAAATCGCAATATGATCCCTCAGTTATCCACGAAATTAAAATCTCAGACATGTATTTCTGAGATTGTAAATGTCACCCTTAATTGTCCAAAATGGTGTAAATGTGGTCCTTTTGAGGGGTGAAATATACAATGTGGGCGAGAGTACATTTCACCACCTAAAAGACCACATTTATAACAATTTGGACAATTGAGGGGTGACATTTACAATCTCATAAATACAAGTATGAGATTTTAATTTTGTGGATCACTGGTGGACCATATATGCGATTTTCCCTATAAAAAATTAAAAATAATTTAGCATTTTAAAAAAAGTTATGTTTTTAAAGTGTTAAAAAAAATTATTTGTACTCCGATTGCTTTAAAAATATATCAAAATTCATAATTGTTTACTATTTTTCATATGACACATATTTTTTATAAGTAAAAATAAAAAATAATGGGAAAATCACATATATGTTCCCTCAGTTATCCACGAAATTAAAATCTCAGACCTGTATTTCTGAGAATGTCAATGTCACACCTATTTTTCCTTGCCTTTTTCTTTTTAGATAATGTTGAGATTCAAAAGCAATCATAACATTATCTACTATCGATCGCCCAGGAATAAAAGCACTTTGAGATTCAGAAATACAGTCATGCAGTAGGCCTTTCAATCTATTCGTACACCTTGGCAAAAATCTTATAAATCACATTGCAAAGGGAAATGAGTCTCCAATCTCCTATAACCTCTGGAGTATCTTTCTTAGGAATCAACACTATATGAGTATGGTTTACCTTTTCTGGTAATGTTCCCAACTCAAAGGAAGCTTTGTAATAATCCACCACATCCGGGCCAATCACATCCCAACAAATGTTGATAAAAACCAAGACTCATGCCATCCGGACCAGGTGATTTATCCGGTTACAAGACAGCTTCCTTAACTTCTTCTGCCTGAATCGGCTCTAGCAACCCCTGGTTTTGGTGCTCCTCCAATTTAGGCGATACACACTTAAGGACAGACTCCCGATCTCCCTGCACAGAAGAAAAAATATTAATGAAATGATCCTCCACCATCCTTCCCAGCTTCTCCCTATTCCGCTCCCAATTCCCTCCCTCCAGTTTGAAGCCTTCTACTCTATTCCTCCTTCTTCTGGATTTAACCGCATTGTGGAAAAACCAAGTGTTGAGTTCCCCGCCCCTATACCAAAACTCTTTCACCCTTTGTCTCCATAACAGATTTTCCTTCTCTAAGAGAGCTAAGTATTCTGTCTTCACTCTACCAAACTCAACAACGCTCTAACCATCAAAATTCTGTCGTAAGTAATTCATACACTTCCTACAGAAGCTCATGTGTTTGATGTAGTCCCCACTCAGATCTTTCCCTCAGAAACCTACATCCCTTCTAACATCCTCAATCTGACCCACCACCCCCTTGTCTCTTCCCATGAACCAACCCCGGACTACCACCTCTCGGCAGTCATCTTCTCAAAGCCAGACATTCTCGAATTTGAATCTTCTTCTCTGAACCCCTCTAACTGATTGAAGCTTAATAACAAAAGCCATATCGTCACTGGGAGATCCCTCTAAAGCTCCAGCCGTTGCATTACCAACTTTCAGAAACCAGAATCCTGTCCAATTTTTCTTCCACCCAATTCGAAGTCCCCCGCCATCGTTCCCAAGTGAACTAGTATCCTTCAAAATGAAAGTTGCTCAAACCACTTGCCCAAATTGTCTCCCTGAATCCTCGAAGTAACCAAGGTGGATATGGAATTCTGCCACGCTTCTCTCCTTCGAACATAAGATCGTTGAAGTCACCCATCACTAACCATGGCAAATCTAACCTCATACTTAAAGATTTTAGTAATTCCCAAGACTACCGTCTCCTTGATCACTAAAAGCCGGTAAAACACCACTTAGTGGCACCTTCTCCAACTGAACCGTTACATCAATAAAATGGGGACTCGCTTCCCGAATCTGAACCACTACACCATCACCCCAAATTAGTTGTAAGCCCCCACGATGCCCATCATTATCAACTGCAAAACAAGATGACATCCCCACTTTCCCCATAACCTCTTCTACCTTTGAACTATTAGAGAAAGTCACCATTAAAGACACAATATTTGACCGCTTAGAGTGAACATAGTCCACTAGCACTTGAATTGCCAAAGGGTTGCCAAGCCCTCGGTAATTCCAGCATAAGCACGTCATAATGCCAGGCGGGCCTGACTGCCAGGACCCGCCCCAATCACGTTTTTTGACTGATCTTCAATGTTATCCACCTCCATTCTACCATTTTGAATTGGTTCTCATCTTCCCCATCTGCCTTCCTCTTCTTAGGGGCTCCTCCTGTGTCTGCTTCTTTCCCAGATTGCCAGCATTAAGTTCCCATCCCTTTCTGTCAACTCAGCATGTAGAGGTTCCTCCCTTCCTATTTGATTCATCCTTCCAGAACTGCACGAAGGCCCCCCTAATAATCCATCAGACCTCCACCTGCAAGCTTGTCCCAAAGCTCTGCCTTCTCCACCCACTAGCTGATATTGACTCCCCTCCCCGGCCTCCAGATATCAGTCATAGTGTCTCTAAAGTATGGGAATTTTACCTGTTTGTCAGACAGGATTCATCCAACTGTCATGAATGATGAACCCACCTGTGCAGGACTTTGAACTGCCTCGCTCACATCTATCTCCTCAGTATCCTCATCTTCCAAGGATAATTTTGTGTATAGGTCTTCCATGGGAACACACAGTTATGTCACAAGATCAAGTTTACGTAAACAATGAAACTCACACACATGCAACCCTGCTGCCAAACTCAAGACTACTAGGGAGGAAAACTCAGCGGTCCAAGTGCTTATAAAATTTCAAAGATCATTCTCGGACACTACTCTCCTCCGACATACATATCTGCCCACTCAGCTTCACATCAAATGGTCAGCATATACTCATAACTCAATCATCATTTTCCGTTGTGCCACCGACAAGTTATCCACAAAAGCATTGACATCAAATAGTCAAAAGACATCAAATTGAAGAAGAATCACGTGTGCGCCTGAAACTTTTCAAGAATAGTCATTCTAGAGGCGCCATCAGACTTCATTCAAGCTGATCAAGAGAAACATCTGAAAGGCAAGGACTACATGAAAGATTTTAAAGATCCTTCAACCCCAAGCATCAAAGAACAAATTATCAAGGAGACAACAAAGGGGAGATTATAAGGATTTCTTCACAAAGACTTTCTAAGAAGACAAAAAAGCTGAACTGCACTGAAGATCAAGACAAAAATAACCCATGCTTCATTACAAATTGAACACAAAGGGGGAGATTTTTAGAACATATTTTATTGTGTTCAATTTAATTATATTTATCTTTGTCTATTAGATTTAATTAGTGGGATTTGTAATTAATTAGTGGCCATTTAATTGTTCATTCTGTCCATCTTAATGTAATTAGGAGTCTGATGAACCTCACCTATATAAAGGGTCATAGGTTAATCGTAGAACCTACCGATCTCTAACCGCACTATTCTCTATTATTAGCCATATTATTGTGTAGCGGAAGAGTAGATAGAAGAACTTCTCCGTAGAATACTCTGTGCTGTAATTCATCATCATTCTCAAGCATTCTATGAAAGTTGTTTTAATGTGTCAATATTGTTGTGTTCATCGTATGATTGTCGTTGAGATTGAATAACATCAGTAAATAAACATACATAACAACATCACATTTAAATCAATGAAGAGTGTAAATATTCAATGGTAAGTCATGGGCCACATCCTGCCAAAACATGGACTCACAGGTCCAAAATAGTTTATGATAAAAAATATATTATGAGCAAGTGTTTGTAAATTTGAAAGTAATAAAGAAGCACGAACCACGTCTTCCTTGAGTCGACTTCACCCGTATGAAGGTGTGGGTAGTAAGCCCTAGCTAGCTTCAACCTGAAAATAGTGGGGGGGGGGGGGGGGGGGCGAAGGGGTCAGTACGCGAATACCGAGAGAGCAGTAGGATAAATGTAGAATAACTAAGGTTTCAAGTATAAGATTCAAACATAGGGTGATACATATACTTATATTCTCTTTCCCCAAGTCTTGAAATACATAACAGTATATACACTTGGAAAATACCCAACCCATAGGACATTGTTTATTTGGGAAATAATAGTAATCAATATTCTTGACTTAAAATCCTAACCCACCCAAACTCCTATGAGTGTATAGAAGTGCTCTTGCGTCCAATCAAGCATCTTAAGGACAACGTCCGATCCTGAATTACTAAATTGTAATCTATGCGTTTTGAAGACCAGGGGCGGAGCCAGGACCGATATTTACCCTGGGCCGACTATACACTAAAATATTATCTAAAATTTTTAAATGCGACAATAGTGTGAACAATGAACATAATGAGTAAAATCCATTAAAATTCATAGTAATATTTTTAAACAATACATACAATATTTTGAAACTAAAACGTTAACTGAACACGACACTCTTTGACCTTAGCAAAGTCATCTATGAGAGACTCAACATTAATTTTGTTGGCAAATTCCTTTTCAATAAAGATGGTCAAATGATCAACAAGAAATTCATCTTTCATCTTGTTACGAATTTCATTCTTTACGAGTTTCATTGCAAAAAAAAACATTCTTCACGAGGTTCAAGCATCAAATAAGATCGTCTAATTTCATCTCTTTTCTCTAACAGTCAATCACTTATCATTTTTCATTTTCCCGGATCCCACTCAATTTCAAGTGAATCTGAAACTACTTCCTCTTGAGCGGATGACATATTAGAAGTTTCAATTGAGACATTTAACTCTTGTCTACTTTGTGTGCTTGTACTAGGCTTATAAAACGAACCAAATGCGAATTTTGCCTTTTTTGAAGTAGATTGGGTGACCATACCTACTACAATTACCAAAAAAGTAAAAAACTAATCAATGATATATATATTTTAATTCATATAAATATAATTCATATTGATATTTTAAAATTTTCACATATAACATTTGACATTCCTAATTTTCTATTTCACAATTCAAAACACACAATTACACAAATCAAACTAAGTCACAAATACAAACTAATTTAACAAAATAACAAATAAAACACTTGACTAATCTAAAAATTGTACAAACATAAAAATAAACCCTTACCTTGGCTTGAACTCTTGAAGGAGTAAGATTGAGGAGCTGCGCAGTCCGCACAGGGGAGCCGGAGAAGGAGCAGACGCCGAGTGGTCCAAGCAGCTTAGGGAGTTACTGAGTTAGCATGCGTCTCCGACGAGTCGGCGAGCACATGGCGAGTAGGCGACGTCTGGATGAGGCGTGCATGGTGCGTGATTCGTGAAAGACGTCTGTTAGGGAATTATAGTGGGTCTCCCGTTTGATGGATGCTGCTGCGGCGCAACACTTCTTTTACTTGGAGCTGGACTGTTTTTGCAATTGGCCAGATTTTTTACACTTCGCCAATTTCTAAAAACAAATTTAATCTATATACTCCCTCCGTCCCGATCATTTCTTCCGGTTTTGACCGGTATCGCAAATTTAGTTAGTGAGAATAAAGTGAAAATGTATGGTTGTAGTTGTGTAAGAAAAAGGTGAATGAATGTGAACCACATATTTTTTCCAAAAGTGGAAGTTGGAAGAATTAATTGGGACAGCCCAAAAAGGAAAATTGGAAGAAATGACCGGGACAGAGGGAGTATATAATACAACAAAAAAAACCCTGGACCATGGCCCAGCCAGGCCACCCCTCCCTCCACCCTGTTGAAGACAGTCCAGTCCCTGGGTTCTCCATCAGTTATATTCCGAGTTTTGAAGACACCGCCTGGTCCTTGGGTGCTCCACTCAAACACCTGAGTTTTGAGGACACTGCCCAGCCCTTGGGTACTCCACCTGATACCGTTAATTGGGCTCTATTTGACCAACCAGTCAATCTTATGCCGTTTCTATGGCCCAACAAGAATATCCATTACCATATAAATATTATCTAGACCAAGATAAATATAATATGTGGTCCTGGAAATATCGGGCGGTCCCCGCTCCCAATGTGGGCCCCACGTGTAAATTACTATTCATGCAAAAGTAATAACAAAAATTTACAACCTCGTAAATTCAATGACCATTCTTCAGGATTTAATACATCATTTACTATAAAGTAAATATACTTGAGACAGTGTTACATTTTGTGGGTAGAAAAATAATAACACGGCTTAAATAAAAAATGTTAAAAATCAAAGTGAATGGTTATACGATTGGAACATAAAATTAAAATCATAAGACTTACCTGGTGCATATACCGTGCAGCAAGTAAAGATATACTCCCTTCGTCCCTTAAAACTTTGTCAACTTTCCTTTTTTGGGTGTCCCACTAACTTTGCCATTTTCTCTTTTAAGTCAGGAATTTGTGGTTCCAGCTAATTCTCTCTTCTCTGCACAAACATCAACCACACACTTTTTGCTTTATTAATCCTGATGTCGGTCAAACTTGACAAAGTTTTAAGGGATGTAGGAAGTATGTTCCTAGGGCCAATTTTTCTTTAATATGTAAGCATTACATAGCAATATTAATGCCAACACACCCACGTGGCTTCAATTAACAAGTAACGTAAGTTGGTAAGTGGTAAAAGACGGAAATTTTTCTACCTTAAAAATACCCTAGTTTGGGGAGCAACTCACATGTAAGGCGGAGACCCGTGAGACTAAATGTGAGGTTATTATTGATCGTTGACTGCTACTTCTCAATTAAGATTGTTAGATTAAAAATTTGTATTGTGACTTGTGAGGGCACAAGAATTCTATGAGTTCATGATTCTGGAAGAGACCGGGGTCATGTTTTCCCTAACAATATCTCCCCGTGGTACAAAATATTAGGATCAATTTTTCTCCCTCTCTCTTGATTAATTATGTGTTCGACTAAAAAACTTGATCGGCAACAAATCATTTTTGAGAAAAGTATCAGTTCTGTTGGGATAATATGCCAGGCCCAGTGCCATCGGTCCATTATCCCCGAGCTTTGGCCCAACTAGGCCCAAGACGCAGTCTCACGAGCGGGAATCGCCCCTTGCTCATTTACTTATTTATCGGGCCGGTTCGTCCATTAGCTTGGACATGTATTATGTATTTGGGCCAAGCCCACGTAGGTTAGACTTTGGACTTGTAATGGATGCCTATAAATAGGCCATCACCCCCCTTGTATCCTGGACGCTATTTTTACTATACTGAAATGCTGCTAGTTTCTCTACCAAAAGAAAAATTAACAATCGTCACAAATTTCCAAAAATATGGACGAACGAGCCAAAATTCAACAAGAAAATCATCCCAACAAGTGGATTGCTACAAAACAAAAACGTGGAATCTCTCAACCGGAGCAAGCATAGTCTGGATGAAACTCCGTCGATGCTGCAGATCTAGGAGCAGCCAGAGCACAGGCGGCAAGGTCCTCCACCTCCTCCGCGGAACCATAACCGGCAGCTCCCTCCGCCAACACCTTCCCGGAACGTATGGAGAGCTCGAAAGCTTCTGGTTGGCGCTCGTAGTTCACCCCTCCGCCTCAGTCCAAGAGCAGTCGAACGGTGGTTACTTCCCTCTCCACTATCGCACGTTCGCCAGGGAATCTATCGGTCACCACCGCCTGAGATCGCAGCCCCTTCACGGAGATCGAAGCTGCTCTGCCCCTTGGCAGCGGTGACGCTCGGAGGAAATAGCATGCCTTAGTGCGCAGGGTCCATCTCTGGTCATGCTCTCCATCTGGCCAGGAGCCTTTTACTTGTACCTCCGTTCCATAACAGGTGCCAAGGGACGACGAGTACGGCTGAAACATCCCAGCGATATCTGACATGTAGCCCAGCATATGAGACGACTTCCTCTCATCCTGGTCTTCTCTTCGGAAGCAACGCTAGTTGGACAGTGCTGATGGACTTCTCCTTCTCCTGGAAAGGCTTAATTTAATTTGACCTAGTCAAAATTGGCCTAAGGAATCCCAATGTGATTTTACAAAGCATCCTAATAGGATTTGGTGAATTCAACGAAACGTGGGCCATCCCACAAGCAAAGGGCAATCATCAACGAGGGCAACCATCCCACCAAGCGGAGATGTATCAATCTTTAAAAAATAAAATTAAATTTGAAATTTCTATTAATTTTTTTGAAATTGTAGGTTGATTATCCGTGCCAACTGGTCGTGGTTCCAGAGCACAATCACGAGGTCGAGCACACTAGGAGCTATCACCTCAGACGCTTGTATGCTCGGTGCCATACACCATGCTCATACACTCAGGGCATGATGGAGCTCGAAGGGAGTACGTGTCCCGGCAAGTTGAGTAGCCAAGAAGGAGTCCCTCCCGGCAACACTCATCCCGGGAAGGAGGGAATGAGTCGTCTCATTACCCCCGTCGACCAGGTAGGAGGGCTGGCTACCCCGGGAGACGTACCAGCACGGACCAACACTGATGTACCGGCACGGACAGATCCCGAATAGAGTATGTGTCCCGGCAAGTTAGCCACGACAGCCAGGAAGGAGGCCTTCCCGGGAACACCCATTCCGGGAAGGAGGGAACGATTCATCTCATCACCCTTGTCAACCAGGTAGGAGGGCTGGTTACCCCGAGAGACGTATTAACACAGACATACCCGCAAAGATGGGCCCTGAAGGGACGTGCCGGCACAGACGTGCCAGCACAGACTAGCACAGACGTACCGGCACAGATGGGTCCCGAATAGAGTTTGTGTCCCGGCAAGTTAGCCATGACAGCCAGGAAGGAGTCCTTCCCGGGAACACTCGTTCCGGGAAGGAGGGAACGATTCATCTCATCACTCCCGTCAACCGGGTAGACAGCTGGCACCCCAGGAGACGTATCAGCAGACATGTACCAGCACAAATGGATCTCGAAGGGAGTATGTGTCCCGACAAGTTAGGTAGCCATGGTAGCAAGGAAGGACAACTCGTCTTATCACTTCCGTCGACCGGGAAGGCGGACAGCCTTCCCGGACAGACGCCATGCTAAATCTCGACCTCACGTACGCGAGAGAGTTGTAGAGTCTTCTGCGCAAGTTCAGCTCCGTGCTGGGCGCGCATGAGCAGAACTGGCCCCTGATGTGGTGAAAGATCTGAGGCTAAGGCTACACGAGCTGAGGAGAAAGGTCGTCGGAGGAGAGCCATATGTGGCCGACCTCCACGTCCCAGAACCATGCACTGGTACCATGATGAAGCATTGTTGACAAAGGGGCACAAACCTTGCAACACAGAGCTGTTACTCGAAGGCATGGAAACATCATTGCTAAAAAGGTACAAACCTTGCAACGCAGCGGCAGCCAGGAAGGAGGCCCTCCCGGCAACACTCGTCCCGGGAAGTAATGAAGCACTGTTGCTAAAGGGGTACAGACCTTGCAACACGGAGCTGCTACTCGAAGTCCTGGAAGCATCATTGCTAAAGGAGTACAGACCTTGCAATTGCGGGCCGATCATGAAGGTCCAGGAGTACCGTTGCTAAGGGGTTACAAACCTTGTAACGCGAAGCCATTACACGAAGCCATTATGCGAAGGCGTTCAAGCAACTCGAGCGGGTGGACCTCAGGGTCCATACCATCAACAACAAAGCTACGAAGTATGAGGATCAAGATCAATGCAGGACACCCTGTCAAGTCCTATCAGCGGAACATCATAAGCTTGTACATCAATTGCGTAGCGCAAGGCACCTTATCAAATTCTATGAGCGGGGCACTGCAAGTTTGTAGATCAAGCGGAGTGTAGGGCACTTTTGCCAAATTCTATGAACGGGGCACAGCGCGCTTGTACATCAAGTGCGGAGCGCAGGGAACCTTCTCTAATCCTAAGAGCGAAGTACTGCAAGCTCGTTGATGAAGAGTAGATTGCAGATAAGCTCTCTCACATTCTATGAGTCGATCATCACAAATTATAGATCAAGTGCATAACTAGAGCAACTCCTCAAGTTCTCAAATTCTTTCATTACTTAAAAAAAGTATATATTTCGTTTTTCAATCTTGAATTTGATGAGGTCCGACCTCACTTGGATTAACGGGCGGCGGCTAAAAACAAGAGAAAATAAAAAAAGAGAGAAAAAAGAGAGCAGAAGAGAAAAGAGGAGAGCAAAAAAAGGAGAAAAAAAGAGAGAGTATATGCATACCACGCCCCGCTCTCGGTGTTTAGTCGACCACGACTCGGCCCTCGGGCAAAGAAATAATCAAACTATTTTCTACGTCCGGGGTTTAGCTGCTCGGTCAGGGCAATTGTAAGACCGGCTTTCGGGTCGAAAAGGTATGCAAGAGGTCGCGCCCCGAGCCCCTCTCGTACATCCGTTGTCTGACGTTGCTGTCTAAAAAGCTCGCATGCACGTATGATCCAATCAACGATGCGGCAACTATATGACTGGTCTCCGGACCAAAGGAACGCGAAAGGTCGTGCTCTGAGTCCCTTTCGTACATCC